TCCCCTTCGCTCTGCCGAGCCACGAACTAACAACAAGCCAAAGACATTCCCGATTGTCTTCAGATGTGCTGCTACTGCATGCTCCGTGCCTTTAATAGCTCCATGCGTTCACGAGGAGCCAATCAGCTCATGCTTGGGAGGGATGGGAGCTGCAAAGAGCGATTGTTTACGCAAAACGCAAACGACAAGAAAAGAGGGGCGCGGCGGTCCAAATGTCTCGCATCCTCCCCTCCTTTCTTCCTCCATCCAGCCTGCTCTTTGTGGCCAGAGGAAGAGCTGCTCTCGTGTAGTTTTCTTTTCTTCTTGCGCGCACACCTTCATACTCCTTGCGGCTCTTGCATATCAGCTCCTCCCCCTCTTTTTATTTCCCGCCATGGCATATCCTTCCGAGAAGAAATCGCCATACGGCCCAGACGACCCTCTTTACTCGTTTCATGATGACCCAGACCACCCCATGTATCACATTCCATTGCCCAGCGTGGCCTTTGACCGAAGCGACGCTGACTTGCGCGGTCGGTCGATGAGCGATGCAGCTCAGTCGGCTAGAAGGTCATCTGAGGACCGGGCCCCGATGGCGACGTTCTTTGGGTCGCAAGCGTGGCAACGCATGTCTTCCGGGCTACCCACCGGAGTGCGTGACCCGCTCAACATTGACGAGCTGGAGCGCGAGGAGCGGCAGATGCCGTTTACTCAAATGGCGGTAGGCGAAATGAGCAGCAGCAATGGTGGAGGCGTCATGTCGTCGAGCCTGGGACCCCCAGGACAGCAACAGCAAGAGAAGAGCGTTGGTGGGCCGATAGATTGGGCGTACATGCAGGACCACAACCTGCGGACAGGCGGGCTGCCGTCCCTGGACCAGGTGCTGACACGGAGGACGCGGGCGCCTCTGGCGCTGCGTGACTTTGCCGTGCATTGCTCGGTGAGGCAGCCGCAAGCCCGCAGATGGCTGGAGTTTTACATGGCTGCGCGCACTCATGAGAAAATGTGCTTGGCCTACGAAAGCGATTTGCGCCACGCCAAGGCCCGCAGCCACTACGCCAGCCACGACAGCCAGGTGCTGCCGTCGTCGCAGCCGCCTGCGGAGGAGCAGGAGATCCTGGATGCCCCGCGCCGCGCTGCCGCCCACACCGCCACCATTGAGTCGCTGTCCCGCGGCCGCCCCGCCACGCCCACCGGGGTGTTTCGTCGCAGCCATCGTCAGTCCTCGCGTATGGCGCTGCAGATTCAGTCGGCGGCCGAGACGATTTTCTTGCGCTATTTCCGCGCCGCACTCGACCCCAATCTCATGCAGACGTCGGCGCCCTGGCGGCTCAATAAGATGGGCTCTCTGCGCCGCATGCTTACCCAAAAGCCCGCCGACCGTTTGGATGACGCATATCACCAGGGCTACGGCGTGGCCACCGAGTACGTGCCCGGCCAGCCGCAGCCCCCCGATTCCTCGCACTTGGCCTCGCCCACCTCACTCGTCTCCCACGACCACTTGCATACCCCCATTACCGATGACTCCAAGCCCAGGCCCCGCTACTTGCGGCTCCCGCATGGCGGCGCGATGAGCTCGTCCCGCCACCACCTGTATTACCACATGCCATGGCCGCCAGAGATCCTAACCGACATTGAACAGTGTCTACTACACGACGGCGCTGCCCTCGACCCCTCCCTATTCTCTGAAGCTCTGCTTTACGCATACGATGTACTGGACACGTACTATTTCCCCATCTTTATATCCGACGCGGTTTCGCGCAACGTTACTCGCGACCACTGTGTTTTGCGAGTTCTCTTGGCCTCTTGCCTCCTGTGGCTAGGATTTGCCCTTCCCCTCGCGCTCATACTCTTGGACTATGAACCAAAAGCACAACGCATTTGGGCTATACTGCCGCAGTTTATTGGATGGTGGAATATGGCGGTTGGTTTTGGTGGCTGCGACGTGCTTTTGGCCTTGGTACGCAAGTATCAGTCTCCCGGAGTCAGAGATACTGCAGAGTCTGCTAAAGTAGAGAAAAACGCGTGGTCGGTTAAATCGCAGTTTGGTGGCTGGAGACGAGCTTGGTTCTCTACTCGTATTTCTGTTGATATGACTGCGACCAGAATGGTCCGCGCTCGCAGTATTCGCTGGTTCATTGGTGCTCTTTTCATGACTGCCATTAGTACTGCTATATTGTGTGGTGTTCCTGGAACTCGCATTTACACGAACTAGCTTTTATTTCCTCATTTTTCTTTTTCATTTCTCACTTTGACACAATATCACGTTGGCACGCAAACTAAAAACTTTATTCCTGTCTGGCAAGAGGAGATAATAGATGAGAGCGGAGGCTTTAAAGCTTGATTTACATTTTTCTACTATTCTTACAATATCTGGAAGGCCCCGAATGTTTTCTGGGACCGCTGGGTGAAGGTATTAACCCAGTGGTACCACTACGACCCGGGCAATGGGAAGCTGGATGGGAGTCTGGAGCTTCATACAGATACAAACTACGTCGACGGCTGCCTCAACTACTTCAGGTTATCAATGCCTACTCGGATCAGAAACACTGACGAACCGAGCCAGGCCACAATCACCCCAGAGCGCACACATAGTACTATCACCATGGCATTTTCTGGGTCTACTTAATATCCTAAATTTATTCAATAAATCTGCGCTTCAGTGCTGCGCTAAAAAAAAGAGTATGACACTCTAGGTAAATGCAAAGGCGTGAGCAGACAAAGAAAGAGCAGGAACTTTTACAAGTGAGGTCATCAGTGGTGTCATAAAGTGCACACGTTCGCCTTTTATGTTTAATTCGTTATTTGAACAAAGAAGCATAAAAAACACAATGACATATTAATGACATGCAGCGCCATCGGTATGTGCTGCCTGGAGTTGGGTATAAAATAAGAATGCCTGGCATCTGTCTCTGCATTCTTCTTGTTCTCTATACTATTATCTTTAGCAGTTAGTTTTATATATTCGACACCCTAACTATAATGCCTAAGCCTAATTCTAGCGTAACAATCAAAATAACTGCCTATTATGCTGAAGAAGGTAAATTGAAACACAAAGATATAGATTACCCAGGTAGTCTAAATAATGAAATGCAAGCCCTAATAGACCATGTTAAAGACACATTTAAGATAAGAAAAAAGGATAACACCTATTCTTTTGCCACTGCATCTCCAATTTCTGTAATCCTTCCTAATTGCTCAATATCATTTTACTTCAGACATCTAAATTTAAATGTTAATGATGCATTACCAATTTGTGTTTTGACTGTGAGACATCTTCATCAGTTAACTAACTATACAACTAATATTCAAGAGCATGACAGTTCACTTGCCAATTTTGAGTTTACATAGTAAACATTAGTTTGATGATGATGGATTCGCTTTATTAAAAGCCCTGTATTGTTAAACGTAATAGTTATTCCAATGTGTGACACAGGGAAAGATCATAGCATGGATCTTTTATGTGTCAGAGACAACTGGAGTAGGGTGTGAGTATTAGTATTTAAATGCAACCTTCCCCTAGTTGGGGAAGGAGAAGGGGCAGGATGTTTTTAGAGACCTTTTGAAATATTATTAAACTGACATTTGAACAACTATACGTTTAACAACTTGTGCCCTACTCCAGTTGTCTCTGACACACAAAAGATCCATGCTATGATCTTTTGTGTGTCACAAGCAGGTCTGTTGGATAGCAAAGGCAAGCAACCTAAAGTGTGGTCAAATCATGCAAGTAATATGAGACATACATTTAACATGAACACTATTATATCCAACAAGCAAGCAACTAAAATATTTTGCTTAAACTATGCTGGCCTGTGACATATATTATCTACAAATCTAACCAAATACAATGTACTCTCTGCCATTTCAATAAGAGCTTTAAAATCGGGTGCCAATTGCCATTTACTAAATTGTTGACCACCTGAGTAATAAAACACATCTGCATGCTTCACACGATCAAAGGTGGTAGGGTGGGCACGAATAATAATTGCCATATCTGGTACAGCTGTATTATTGGCCTGAATCCAACTTCTTAATTCAACAGCAGTTTAAATAACGTCTCCAACAATAATCAGACATTTACTATATTTCTTGGCCTCTTCAACAGCAAATCCAATGTTAAAGCGGATTTCTTGAGGAGGCAGATTTTCCATTTTACACAGAGCCAATAAAATAATTATATGCAAGAAAACAATTGGGAAGTGATATGCTAGCCTAGAAAAATGGGCAAGCAGATGGGCTTATATATCTGCCGGTGCACGATATTCAACACAATTGCAATCCTTGTAAATTTGATTAGCAGTGTGCTTGGTTTATAAATACAATTGCTTGATTGAGTAAGGCATGCTTTGTGGCAAAGTATCCCAACAAGTGAATTAGTTTAATGCAGCTTGTTGCATATTAAAAAGTACTTGGGAAGCTTCCATGGAAGACATTCTTTGGGCAGGTCTTTGTAGAGGAGCTGTTGAGTACAATTAATCCATTGAATATATTTTCTTTTGTGGCCGGGCAGTACAAAAGAAGAAAGAACAATTGCAAGCAGAAAGACACTAAATTAAGCACATTCCAAAAGCATTCATGGCAAGCATTCTTTGGACAAGCATTAGACCAGTGCTAATAAATTACCATGGCTTTGAGCTTGCACAAATCACCTAATTTACTAATTAAACCTTTTTATTGATTTCTTGTGCTTTGCTGCTTGTACAAAACCATCGATATAAATATGTGAAGTATCAAGGAGCAAGAAGCCCCACACATGGCCAAATATTGAGTGTAGTTTGAGTATGCTTGTTGTGCTGAATATGCCTTCATTGATGAGTTTGAAGGGAAAACAGCATAGTTACGTTCAGCATGCCAAAGTTAATTGCGTCCAAGTAGTTTCCATGGCAAATAGGCTTGAAAAATAAAAAATAAAAAAGCTGGTGTCTAATCGTAAAGCAAACAGTTTCAGATAAATATAATAATGAAGACTATGTGGAAGAGTAGTTTGCTTTGGTTACAAGGACAAACACGCAGCCGCTGATCTCGTAGTCTAGTGGTTATGGCGTCTGTCTTACTTCTTTGAAAAGGTAACAGAAGGTCGCGAGTTCAATCCTCGCCGAGATCACATTTTTATTTGAATTGTTTTTTGGGGGCAAGGCATTGAACTCGTGCAACGCATGCAATGTCAGCAGTAGATCAGCGTTGAGAGTTGATAGCATTTCTTGTTTTGAGGTTTGTCTTTTCATTCATATCATTTGTAAATATTATTAACTTTTTGCATTATCGCTTGTCATGCAGCCCTTGGACAGCGACGGAGCAGAGGAACAACAGAGCCGTAACAACCGAGCGAGCGTGGTGTTCCAGCATTTGCATGCGTCAATAGCGTCAACGTACTCGCAGGGCCAGAGGAGCTCCGTGGGCCACAGGAGCTCCTTGGCAACAGGGCCGTGGTCGCTGCGACGCAGCGTCACAGAAGGCGCGGCTGGCGGGACAGCGTTTGAACGGCAGCAGTCTCAGCCGCAGCCGCCGTGGTGGGACGAGGGCGAGGACGAGGGCGAGGATGAAGACGAGGACGGCTCAAAGCGGCGGGCGGCGGCTGATGAGCTGACGCCGCTGGTCGAGGGCGGCGGGGCGGCGGCGGGCACTTCATGGAGGAGCTCCTGGCGCTCCATGGCGGGGCGCGTGGTTCCGCTTCGGCGCGCAGAGCAGATCGGCGTGTTCAAGGCGGTGCTTGCGTACGGCGTCGCGGCGCTGTTTGCGTTTGTGCCGGCGCTGCGTGAGTGGCTGGGCGACCCCGAGTACATGGCGCCGCACCTGGTGACCAACGCGGCGATCTGGTGCCACGCGGCGCAGCCGCGCAGCAGCCTGGCCGAGGGCGCGCTGGTGGGCGCGCTGTGGGTGTGCGCTGCGAGTGCCGCGACGTCGGGCACGCTGGCGGCCAGCGCGTGGGTGCACGAGTGGAGCGGCGGCGATCCGGCGGCGGGTGATCTGGCGATTCTGAGCAAGGCGCTGAGCCTGGGCGTCGTGTTTGCGCTGAGCTGGGCGCTGGCGTTCGCCAAGGCCAACGCGGCGCGCGCGTCGGTGGGCGCGGCCACGGCCATGGCCAACATCGCGCTGTGCCTGGTGATGCTGCGCGAGGCGCCCGTGGCCCACCGCCCCGACGGCGCCGGCGAGGGCGTCGGCAGGAAGGCCGCGCACGTGGCCGGGGCCGTGGTCACGGGGCTGGGCGTCAGCCTGGCCGTCGGGTGGTTTGTGCGCCCGGCGACGGCGGGTGCCGAGGCGCGGGCGCGCGTGCGCGGCGCCGTGGCGTCGTTCCGCGCGCTGGTGCCGCAGCTGCTGGCGCCCGTGGTGCGCGGCGCGGCGCCGCCCAGCTCGCAGGCGAAGGCCGGCGGCGCCAAGGCCGCGGCGCTGAAGGCCGCGCTGCGCGAGCACCGCCGCGCCATGCAGCAGCTGCGCGCCGCCGCGTGTGCCGCGGGGCTGCCGCTGGACGGCCTGGCGCCGGCGCTCGACGCGCTGAGCCTGCGCGTCAGCTCCATGGGCTCGGCGCTGGAGCTGCGCGTCATCGACCACAGCGCCGACGCGTCCGCGCTCGACGCGCGCGTCTACGCCGCCGTCATCCGCCGCATCCGCGCGCCCGTGCTGCAGCTGGCCGCCGTGTGCGACCGCGCGCTGGAGCACGTGGCCGCCGCCGTCGACGCCGCGCTGGCGCCGCGCCGCGCCGACCCGCCCGACGCCGACGCGTGCCATGCGGAGCTCGCCGCCGCCATCGCCGACTTTGACGCCGCCTACGCCTGCGCCGTCGCCGCCCTGGACCGCCCGTCCGGACCGCCGGGCCGCGCGCTGGGCGCCGCGTCCACCACGACCGAGGAGCAACTGTTCATTGTGCACTTCTTCGTCTTCAGTCTGCGCGAGTTTGCCGCCGAGCTGCTGGCCTCCGTCCTGCCGCACGCCGCGGCGCTGTCCCGCGCGCCGCCGGCGCTCTTCCGCCCGCGGCGCGTGGCCGCGGCGCTGGCCGCCTATGTCCGCGTGCTGTGGGACACCGGCGCCACGACCGAGCTGGAGGCGCGCCACGAAATCGTCCGCGCCTCCGACCCGCAGTCGCTGCATGCGCCGCGCCCCGCCACGCGGCTCCAGCGCATGGCGCGCTCTCTGTGGCACGTGCTGATGTGGACGCGGCGCCTGAATGTGCGCTTTGCCACAAAGTCTGCGCTCTTGGTAACTGCCCTCTCGTTTCCCTGCTACTGGAGCATGGACATGTACACGGAGTACCGCCGCCAGCGGCTCGAGTGGATGGTGATCTCTGCCGCCGCCATCATGGTGCCCACTGTGGGCGGATCCCTGCTTGTAAGCGTCTACCGCATTCTCGGAACCTGCGCCGGCGGTCTAGCCGCCTTTCTGGTCTACGAGGTTGGTCGCGACAATCCGGCATTGACCTTTGTGCTTTTGGTAATGTTCTCCGTGCCCTGCTTCCACGTTATTCTCCACGGCAAGTATCCCAAGATCGGCCAGTTTGCCTTGCTCACTTTTGGCGTGATTTTGATTAACAAGTGGGTGGCCCGCGAAGACCAAGGAGAAGGCGCCGGTGACTTGGCCATACGCCGTACAATGTCCGTGGCCCTGGGTATTATTGCCGGCATGCTGGTTACCATGTACGTGTGGCCCTACGAAGCCCGTGTCCGCGTCCGCCAGGCCCTGAGCTGGTGGATGCTAACCGCCTCTATTCTCTACGACCGTCTGTGGAGCAGCAACTCTTCTCCGTTTATTTCACTTGATAGCGCAGAGGAGTTGCAGAGTTCGCTGGTCGAAATACGCGCTTTGCTGGCCGATACTCTCAACGAGCCCCGACTCAAGGGCCGCTTTCCCTTGGAGTCCTACCAGCGCATCATCAACGCCTGCCAACGGCTGCTGGACGCCATGGTGGCAGCCCGATGGGTCGCTCAGCAAACGCCCGCTCCCAAGGACTTGCTGCGCAGCACTGAGCTAGTGCGCGAACAACGTGACGATCTTGTTTCGCTGGCCATGTACGTATTGGCCTCCGCCCTCGTACTCAAGACTCCGCTACCCGCAGTGCTCCCACCTATACACGCATCACAGCGTCGTGTTGCCCACGCCATGCGCGATATCCTTGACACCGCTACACTGGATGACGACTCGATTGCCAGAGCCCGCTACGTGTTTTACTATACTCAGGTCATGCTTGGCTGGGAAGTCGTCCAGGAGCTAGCTATCATTGGAGGTCTTCAGCGTGAATTGTACGGATCATATGGCCCACGCCAACTATACTAATAAAACTCAAATCCCTACACTGCGATCCCGATGGCTAGCCCGGTTATCTGCTTCGTCGTGGCTGACCATGCGATTGACTGCCGCGATATATGCCCGAGCCGATGCTGTAATGATATCGACGTCGCTAGCAAGTCCCGAGAACTTTGCCTCGCCCCCCGTAGCAGCAGCATCGGGCGATGCCTGCACACGAGAAATGCGCACCGAGGCCTTGCCCAGGGTGTCTTGGCCCTCGCTGGTCGCGGCAACGCTAAAGCTGAGCAGCTCAATGTTGATTCCGACGATCCGCTGGATCGCCGAAAACGTCGCCTCGATCGGCCCGTTGTTCGCCAGGGCCACGTCCGTCGCCTCAGCCCCCGACACCGCGTCATGCAAAGTCACTGTGGCCGTCGGCGTGATCCCCACTCCCGTGATCACCTGCAGCCCGCGCAACGCAAACCGCTGAACCGCTGCCACCTCGCCAGCACCAGCTGCTTCAGGCTCATCGGCAGCGGGCTCGACTCCGGCCACCAAAGACGAGGACCGGACGTCGGCCACCAGCGCATGCATATCGCCATCCGTGACGCCCGACTTTTTCGAGTCCGCCAGATCCTTGAACCGGGTAAACGCCATTTGGAACTGCGTCTCCGACAGCGCCGCTCCGCCATATCCCAAGTCCTCCAACTTGGTCTTGAACGCATGCCGGCCCGAATGCTTGCCCAGGGCGAGGTTCCCCGTAGTAACACCAACGTCCTCGGGTCTGATAATCTCGTACGTCTGCTTGTTCTTCAACACTCCGTCCTGATGAATGCCGCTCTCATGCAGGAACGCATTGCGGCCCACGATGGCCTTGTTCGCCTGCACCACCATGCCAGACAGATCCTCCACCATGCGCGAGGTGGAAAAGAACAAACGAGTGTTGATCGTGTGGTGGACCGGATAGGCCGATGGATGCGTGTGGATGTTCATCACTACCTCTTCCAACGAAGTGTTGCCTGCGCGCTCGCCAATCCCGTTGATCGTCACTTCCACCTGACGCGCGCCGCCGCTAATCCCGGCCAACGTGTTGGCCGTAGCCAGGCCCAGGTCGTCGTGGCAGTGCGTCGAGAACACCACGCTCTCCGCCCCCGCCGTGTTGGCCTTCAGGTGCCTGATCAGGTCCCCGTACTCCTGGGGAGTGTTATACCCGACCGTGTCTGGAATGTTCAGCGTCGTAGCGCCGGCCCTAATAGCAACCGCCAAGGCCTCGCACAAGAATGCCCGATCCGAACGGCCCGCATCCTCTGGCGAGAACTCTATGTCTTGGCACAGGCTCTTGGCGAACCCCACCATTTCCGCAATCCGCTCCTTGCACTGCTCCCTGCTGATCTTCAGCTTGAACTCCAAGTGGATGTCGGATGTCGCCAGGAACACGTGGATCCGGTGCCGCGGCGCCTCCTTGACCGCGTCATACGCCGTCTGGATATCGTTCTTGGTTGACCGCGCCAGTCCGCAGATCACCATCTCTTGGTTCACCCGGCCTTCCCCCGTACGTCCCTCCATCAATGGCCCTACTTCGCGCGCAATCCTCTGAACCGCGTTAAAGTCTCCCGGTGACGCGATAGGAAACCCTGCCTCCAGCACATCTACGCCAAGGCGGGAAAGCTGCCGTGCAATTTCAATCTTCTCCTCGGTGTTCAGAGTGACGCCTGGCGACTGCTCACCGTCGCGCAAGGTCGTGTCGAATATGATCAACTTGTCTGTAGCGGCCGACATTTCAAAATAGTATAAAAAGAGTATCCACAAAAAAATAAAATAAAGGCCGTGTGTGATGGGAGCAGAAATAAAGACGGGGTTTGGTGAGCCCGCCACGGATGTCCTACT